CCTGGAAAAGCCAGAGAGCAAAGAGAGCAGAGAGAGAGAGAGAGAGATTGCCCAATCATCTAAAATCGCCCCGTAATTCGAATGCAGTTCCATCGAATGATTGGAGATGGAGGAGAGAACTGCATCCCCCGGCAGGAGGGAACTGCATCCCCCGGCAGGAGGGAACTGCATCCCCCGGTAGGAGGGAATTGCACCCCTCGCTGCAACACCTCCGAAACCGTTTCCGAGTCGACTCCGAAGTCGATCGTTCAATTTAAATGAATCGAAATTAATTGAAATAGACTTAATGAGGGAAATGATGCGACGAAACGAGAAGAAAGAGAAAAAGAAGGAAATTTGTGCGACGTCGATGCCATGACATTCCCAAACGTGACGTGCCATGACATTCCCTAACGTGACGAGCCAAAACATTCTCCGACCGACGGGATTCTTAATGCCAAAATGAATGCGCGAACGGGCGAAATTGGCTTTCATCATCGCGTCAATGAGGGCCGGTCCTAAATGGGAACCGGAAGGAACGACCGGACGAAACCAAACTCGGAGGAACAAAGGGGAGGCTAAAGGGAGGCAAGAAGGGAGGCTGAAGGGAGGCAAGAAGGGAGGCAAACAGATAATGACAGCGTTGTGAACAAAGGCTGAGAAACAGATTCCAGATCGATATCTCCGAGGATGAGAGAGTGATTCAGCAGTCATTTTGGCAGGACTTTAATGGCCGCGCCGGTTCCACCCTTTAATTTACGGGGAAAAAACGTTTGCGCTTCCATGCATGCAACGCGGATCGAGGCAACGCGGATCGGGGCAACGCGGATCGAGGCAACGCGGATCGAGGCAACGCGGATCGTCGATCGTGGACTTTCGGACGGGGCCGACAGATGAAACGGCTTCTCGGGGGAAAACTTGTCGCCCGTGGGCGAAGACTGGGGGAAAGCGGGCATGCGGGGTTCTGTCATGCATGCATGCGGGGCTCTGTCATGCATTTATGTGTGCGCCGGAATATCCACTTTGCATAAATCCCTTCCGGTATGAGCCGTTATGATAATATCGCTGCTCCTTAAGCGATCCCTCGACATAAAGGAGTTTCCTCGGTTCCTTCTCGGAACGTTTGCGAGACGTTTGCGAGACGATGAAGCGGCGGATGGAATTTGCAAATTTCCCGAATTTATGCAAATTTAGGGCGAAATTCCCAGCCGATTTTGACAGGCGAATCGGGAAAGACGGGAGAGAGACACGCGGCGATCCCGACTCTTAAGCGACTTAAGCGACTTAAGCGTCCTCGAGCGACTCCCCCGTGCAAAGCGGACTCGCAAAAACAGGGTTTGCAAAATAGTTTTTTCGGGTGAGTTTGCAAGTAGATGCGAAATTCTCCCGTTCGAATTCGCCTCTTTGAGAAGCCGGCGTCTCCGGGGACGCCGCGAGAGGAGAGAATTTGAATAAGGCCATTATGCAAAGCGGCGGATCTGCGGGGAATTGGGATCTTCACCATGTGTCAGGCAACAATTTTCCAACGCTTTGAGAAGGTGTGATAACCCCTGTCAGCTCCTTCTCTCGAGCTTTTTCCCCTCCTGGCGGACGAACGAAAAAAAAAAAGGTGAGGGGAGCATCTCGGTCGACGTGGCGGAGATTTTCCGCGGAAAGGAACGGCGGAAAGGAACGGCGGGAACGAACGGCGGGAACGAACGGCGGGAACCTGCGAGCATCCAAAACGCGACGAAATCGCGAAGAATCGCGATCGATTAAAGAACGGAGAACGAATCGAAAAACGTTTGGAATCTTCTCTCCGCTCCGCATGCAAAATACCGGACCGGTTAGTCGCCTTCCACGTTTCATCTTGAGAATCGGACGCGAAAAAAAGACTCGACCGGGAAGAATAAAGGTTGAGCCCGTGGGAGGAAACAGCTGTTATGAAGCCACCCCTTCTCTTCTCTTCCCTTCCCCTTCCCCTTCCACGGGGAATTGTGCAAGCGACGCACTTTCACCGGACTCATCACCATATCTCCACTGAAGGCGCTCGTGCGGCATCCGCGGTGGATGACAGCGGATGGAGGATGGAGGTTGGCAGCGGATGGAGGATGGAGCTTGGCAGCGGATGGAGGATGGAGGTTGGCAGCGGATGGAGGATGGAGGTTGGCAGCGGATGGAGGATGGAGGATGGAGGATGGAGGACGGCAGGGGATGACAGTGCAGAAGGCGGGAAGCAAATGCTCCGGCCTTCATACCGGCATACCTCGCCGTCAGCTCTCTCTCAATTCCTGATATGACGCCGAAAAGCGATGGCAACACGCCCCGTTCGAGTGTTAGAGAGAGCTTTCAAGCCAAACAAAAGCAGGCATTCTTCCCCGTAAATTGGATATCTGAGGCCGGCATCTCTGGCACGCATTCAGGACATTCCTCCCGTCCGTCCGAGCTCTCACGACGTTGCACGGCGCGTACGATATACATAAATGGTGGATAAAGGGCTGGGCGTGGCTAAAACAACCCGCACATGGTGCGCGATGAGCCACGCCCGGGCATCTCCGATCCCGAGTGGAATCAACATGCTAAATGTTTTCATTCGAATACTCGCGAGGCCGATTCCACTTCTGCATCGAGATTCGAATGCAATTCGACTTGCATCTCTCGATTCGAGTTTTCCTCGTAAACGCTCGTTCTGTTGCGGAATCAGAAACGAGAAAGGAGCAGATGAGGAAACGAGAGAAATGGATTTTCCCTCTCCGATAAATTGTTTGTGTCCAAACTGATAAGTTCCAGTTTTCTTCGAGCGGAGAAAGCCGAGGCGATTTCACTTCTGATGAAAGCTTCCCGCGCGACCCATAATTTCCGGATTTCCAAACGACAAAGCGGCCGAAGGAAAAGATTTCCCGATTCTTATCGAGAAACAAGTGGCTTTTTGGCCTCTTTTTCGTCGCGATGCACCCGTCAGATACAAACCGTGTCATTTTGACTTGTCACACATCTTGTTTGCGAGAAATAAGGTGAGATGCCTGTCGCCGTTTTTCCATTAGACGGACCTCGAGGGCCCCGTCTTGTAATTTTCGGCCGAGTGCCGTCATCCACGTAGAGGTGTCCCCGGGCCCGAATCCGTTCCCGACCCGCTTCGCGCCCCCGACCGCGCCCAAACCGCGTTCGAAAAATTCCCCACCGTCGAAACTCGGAGAAACTTTCCGCGTGGAACCGAAACCGAGCGCCGGAATCCCGACCCCAACCGGAACCAGAGAGCCCGCACCGACCTCTACTCCCCCCGATTGATCAAGCCTCGCTCTCTCTCGTCTTAAAAGCTTTCCATTCATACCCTTTCATTATCGGTGGATGTCTGAGAGGCGCGCATCGGGGCAAACGCCATCGCGGCCGCGCCGAGCCAATCACAGGCCTCCATAAATATTTTTATACCGCCAGACCCTGGCCCCTCCTCCTTTCTTCCGAATGTTTTTCGTCCTTGTTTCCAGCCTTTCGAAGAAAGCGTTTCGTCGTCGAAGAAAACTCGCAACGAAAGGCGATAAACATCCTCGAAGAGCGTGGAAACCGCTCTTGCGTCTTCTTCCGGTGCGGCGAATCGAAGATCGATGGCGAATCGGATGAAAATCGATCGCGAATGGAATGAAAATCGATGGATCCCCATATTCCTTTTATTCGTCATGAGAGCCACACAGAAGAATAAATAAAATGATACCCATCCGTCCTAGGCGAGAGGGAAGAGGTCCGGGAAAGCACATACAGGAGGGCTATTTTACGCGAAAATCCAGGACTAGAGCTTTTAATAAGAACCTCATAACTTTAAAGAATTAATTTAGATCCCTAAAAATTCGGAAACGTCGAAAAGCGAAATCGTCACTGCTTATCTTCCTGGGGCGAGGACTCCCGATTCCTGGCCATGAATTCCTCCCAGAGCCTCGCCGATTCTTCCTCCGAGGGACTCGACAGCATCTTCTGCATTTCCTCCGGTTTTTCTTGCACGACTTGAAAGAACGGATTCTCTCTCGGGCCGATCTCCTCCGCGATCTGGATCTTCTTCGCCTGGGGCTCGTCGTCGTCGGGGGCGAGGAGACTGTCGACGTCGAATTGCCGCTTTTTTGGGGTCACCGTCAGGAGCGGGCGGATCAGGGTCGCGGGGGTCAGACGTCGGTGGAGGTCGAGGACGTCGTGGGGTCGGCGGTGGAGATCGAGGGCTTCGTGGGGTCGGCGGTGGAGATCGAGGGCTTCTTGGTGGCGTCGGTGAAGATCCAGGATCTCGGTCCCGGCCCAGCAGGGCGGGGACGGGACTTGCGGCGGCGGGGACGGGGAGTCTTCGTCGTCGGGGACGTCCAATCCCATGTGCTTCCGGACTTTCCGTTGCGCCTTTCGACGTCGGAAGTCGCCTTTCTTGAAGTCTTCCACGTTGGCGGGGTGGATGGCCCAGTAGTGACCTTTTCCGTTGGCGCTTCGACCGGATTTGATGAAACAGTCGTTCAGCGAGAGGTTGTGGCGGATGCTGTTTCTCCAGCCGGGTCCCCGGGTTCGGAAATACGAATAATGATCCAGGATCCACTGATAGATGTCGGACAAGACCATCTTCTTATCCGGGCTGCTGAGAATGGCCATGGCGATGAGCCCGATGTAGGAATGCTGCGGCTTCGGCTCCTCCGGAACCCGGTAGAACCGGGAATCGAACGCTCCGAAGAACGGCGGATAGAAACTGGGAAACCTCACGAACGGATTGGCGTACGGATTCGTCGGGTAAGCCAAGGTCGACAGAAGCCTCGCCCGATTCAGGTACGCTTGCTGGTAAACCTGCAACGGATACTGTGCAGGAAACGGCACCGTCGTCGTAGAACTCCCCGCGGGAAACATCGGCGACACCATTTTCTCCTCCTGAGGCGGCGAAGAAACACTAACGGGGCAAGCCGTCGTCACCGGCGGATTGCTCGAGATGCTCAGGTCTTCCGGACTCCCCATTTTGCGGCAGAAACACTCAGAAGGAGTTTGGCTTTCAAGAACCCTCGAGTCCCATAATAAAGACTATAAATCAGAGAAGCACGTGGGAGCCGCCCCGAAGTCCCGCCCCCTCTCGCTCCCGATTGGTCGATCCCTCGCAGGCCCCGCCCCCTCGCTTTCGATAATATTCCCTCTTGTTGGACGAGTAGAGGGGGCTTTTGTTCCGTTGAAAACAGGGCCCATGCGTTCCCCGCTTGTGTTTCAATTTGCCTTGGGAAGTTTTTTCTTTCTTTCTTCCCTCTGAATGAAATTCCACTCCATTTGTTGATGCAGCGTCGATGCAGCGAAGAATGGGCCTCGAAAACGCCCCATTTTCAATGGACGCTTCGGGAGCGATTCCGCGAGTTATATCATCGAGACGGGAGAAACTCCGGATCCGAAACCGGTTCGAATCCGGCTTCGAATCCGGCTCTCGAACGCGAGGCATCCGAGTCCTTCCTTTGTCGAACTCAGGTATTCCATAATGAGATCCTCGGATCTCTGTGCAAATCCAAACTGATTATATAGGCCACACAAAGGGGCAGAAAGAGTGTATTATGGGGGGAAGCCTTTCATAATTCAGCCGATGAAAAAAGCCTCTCGAGGCCTTGAATGGGGGGATATTCATTTCCTCCTCTAAAGCAAATGTATACATCACCTGAGTGAATGGGCCGGTCGGGGATAAAAGAAACTACAGACGCAGCCCTTGTTGCGTTTTTGTTCCTCGTATTAAAGCCTGATCCCTCAAATCGGATATCTCGGAATGCACATTGCTTTTCACACCCCGGCTGGCTGCAGATCCAACCTAAATAAGTGGATTACAGGCCCTATTGCCTCGCCAACAGCAGGGAGAAAATGAAACCCAACAAGATTCAATCTTCTCCCTTTTTTTCCCTTTTTCCCTCTCTCTCTCTCTCTCTCTCTCTTTATCCTCTTCGATTTCGACGGCATCATCTGTCATTACAGCTTTTCGTTTCGATCGATACTCATTACGTCGGGTCTGAACAAAGACGCGGGGCGCTACCGAAATTCAAACATTTTTTCGTCTTTTCGACGATTCTGACCCGATCGGATTCTCGTCTCCCGGGGGCCGACGGAAGACACCTGAGTCGACTCCGAGGGCTTAGCTTTTGGGATTTAGTCTTTGGGATCCGTGTTTGACACGTGCATTGAAGATGAAATCCCCCCCAGGTGCGCCCTGCTTGCTCTTCGGATCCCCTCGCGATCGAAATGTTTCGGACAAATCGCACAAAGTTGACTGCACACACCCCGTCCGAAACTCCCTTCGACCGGCGGGAAGAGGGAAAAATCTCCGGCCCTGCGTGCACCGACATTTCGGCTAATTACCCGAAGGATGATGAAAAACTACTCCCCGGCCGGATATCGAGTCGGCAGTTAGCGTGATGCGACACACCACACGACTAATACAATCCCCACGCGATGGCCGTCCGCATGTTGAGTCTCAGCGGGGACGCTCTAATGACATCATGCCCTGTTGACATCCTCTTTGATGGAAGATCATCCTGTCAACGCACGCACCCATCCTCCATCCATCCTCGATCCGTCCTCGATCCGTCCTCGATACGTCCTCCATCCGTCCTCTCGTTAATGGGAATCCCGGGTCACGATCGGCGCGACTGTCATTTCGATCTGCATAGTCGCACTCCGATCCCATCCGTCTTTTCACGTGAGGAATATAAAAGGAATACTCGGGGAATATAAAAGGAATACTCGGGGAATATAAAAGGAATATACGAGGAATATAAAAGGAATATACGAGGAATGTACTTGGAATATTCGGTCCGCCCAGTCGACATGGAACAACACCCGCCCACAATGCCTACTAATGGCCGGGTCTGGCCCATATCGGCCATAGTAGGCCATGCCGTGAGGGGAGAGCAATTTTCGGATTAAGAGAAGCTCGACGTTGACATCAAAGGGTGAAGAGAGGTTTCTGATGTCCATATAATTGCAGTCACACCAACACACAACGGGGTCTCCATTATCCGGTCATTCTCTCCGAATCCCTTTTTCCCATATGTCCACTCTCGTTCGATGAGAACCTTTATCCATAGTCTCCCTCCCCCCCCCTTTTGATAATGCGCTTATTCGAGGAGACTATTATCGACGGAGACGGGAAGGGGACCCAACTAAAACAATAATTTTCGGGGAAAAAATTTTTATTTTGGGAAATCGTCGAGACAATATCCGCGAATCCCCGCGAGAAAAGAATTCGCGTTTTCGATATTTTCTTCTCGACCCCGTTCCTTTGAACGGGTCAGAAAAGGAGCCGCTGAATGCTCTCCCTCGAGAACCCATTATGCATTCGGTTGCAATCTTCGAGTGGGGGAAAAAGGCTGCACGGTTTACACAGGGCCGAAGTGGCTCGCCGAAGGTCTTCCAGTCCGGGGCGAAACGACAACAAGAAAAATCTCGGTCCCGAGTGTTGGTTTAGGGTTTGTAATGGACGCGGAGGAAAAAAACTCGGAAAACTCGTGTTTATTTTACTCCGCGTTTCCCACACTTCCGATGAATTTTTCGGAAGAATCTCTCTCGGAAGCAGATCGCAAACGACAGGAGTGCTTTTCCCCTCGGCAGAAGACGACGCGTAAATGGATTTGCCCATCGACGAAACGTCGGAGTTAAGGAGCGTCGTCCCTCGTCGTCCCTCGTCGTCCCCCGTCGTCCCCCGTCGACACCCAAGAATGCGATTAGAGTCCGTCCCATCGGGGACACCCCGTCTCTTTCCCTCTCTCTCGTGTCCTTTGGGGACGTACACACTTTGCCATAACAGACAGGGACACACGAGTGCGAGACTGGAAATTACCAAGCCGACATGGAACTGCCGAGTCGACATGGAACTGCCGAGACGAAAATGTCCACTCGAAATGTGACGATGACGGCTCGAGAAGGGGCAATCTCATCTCAAGTAAATGCCGAGGAAATTATCGTGCGAATATTAATAAGCAATAAATAGAGCCTGATGATTGCATCGGGGCATAATCACGAGCAATCACCTCGATCGCAGCGAAATAACATTAATGATGCGTTACCGGACGATTCGGACGGTGCTCACGCAGACAAAAGCCACCGCATGAGGCCCATCCGAGCACATCACTCCGTGTTAAACGTTAATATTGCGTATTAATTAGATATTTTTGCGAGAAGAACCCTCCACGTGTATGCATCTGCGCCACCCCGATTTCCAGGAACCCAGAGCGACGGTGTACGACCTTTAAGCCACGATACATGTCGTGACGAGGGAGCTTGTAATCCCGACGAGGAGGAAAAGAAGATCATGCGTGGAAGGGGGAGAAATTAATTCGGAAGCGGACCCATTCTCGGGCTGAATCCCCAAGAGGACTTTCGGGTTCGCTCGCGGTGCCCCCCCCCCCCCCCCCCCCC